CTTCCTCCTCCTCATGCTCGTCCTCCTCCTCCTCCGCCTGCTCCTCCTCCCCCTCCTCCTCGTATTATTATTGGTATGGTTCTCCCTATTAGCAGTAACCTTCGTATTGCTATGGCTGTGCTTCATCTGATTCTTCTTAGTCTGGTACTAGTATTAAACACTGATTATTAATATTGGTAGTACTTTTCGTAGTATTCAGAGTCGCCGCATTATTCGTATCCGTTTCCATATTATTCTTAAAATTCTTAGTCGTAGCCGCATTATACCACGTACTAGTATGATTCGTCTTATCCGTAGTCTCATGGATATCAATATTGTTATTAGTGTTGGTAGTATTGCTATTCATGAACCTCGTCTGCCTCCTCTTCCTCCTCCTCATCCTCTTCATCAGCATCAGCATCATCATCAGCAGCATCATCAGCATCAGTATCAGCATCATCATCAGCATCATCATCACAATCATAAGCAGCAGCATCATCAGATTCATCATCATCATCAGTATCATCATCATCATCATCATCATCATCATCATCATCATCATCATCATCATCATCATCAGCATCATCATCATCATCATCATCATCATCATCATCATCATCATCATCATCATCATCATCATCATCATCATCATCATCATCATCATCATATCCTCATCCTCGTCCTCCTCCGCATCCTCCCCTTCGAGCTTGTCCTCCTCCTCCTCCTCCACCTCCTCCTCCGACTCATTATCCTCCTCCGCCAACTCCCCTTCACCCTCGTCCCCCTCCTCGTTCACCTCCTCCTCCTCCTCCTCCGCCTCCTCCTCCTCCTCCGCCTCCTCCTCCTCCACCTCCTCCTGCTCCGCCTCCTCCCCCTCCTCCGCCTCCTCCTCCGCCTCCTCCACCTCCTCCTCCTCCTCTTCCGCCTCCTCCTCTCCTCGCCTCCTCCTCCTCCGCCTCCTCCTCCGCCAACTCCCCTTCACCCTCGTCCCCATCCACCTCCCCCCCTCCTTGCCTTCCCCTCCCTCTCGTGTCTCGGGCACATGTGGGCGCCGCGCATCCGAGAGTCCTCTGTTTGGCCGAGGCTCACGCCCGCCCGGCGGCTGGTGCGCACTCCTCAGTGCGCGACCGCCTGCGCCCTGCGTTTGTCCTCGCCGCTGGCGGAATGGAGGGAGAAGGGGAGGGAGAGGGAGAGGAGGAGGGGCGGTGGGGGGGAGGGGGAGAGGAGGGCTAGGGGGGGGTAGGGGAGGGGAGAGGGAGGGTGAGAGGGAGGGGGCGGAGAGGAGGAGGGGGAGGGGGAGGGGGAGAGCACCCCTGGGTGTCGCCGCACCCGCCGACAACCCCGAGCCGAACCCGCTATCGCGGGCAAGCACCACACGCTGAAGCCGCCGCGCCTCCTGTAGCGGCGCGCCGACGGTGCGAGGCTGACCCCGATCGGGGAGGCACTCCCCCAAGCCCATAGTCGGGACGCAAAATGACGAACTAACGCAAATGTCGCCGCAACTGACAGGACAACATTGAGGTCGCGCCGCCCCCGCCCTCCACAGTTGAAGCCAGCGTATCGAGGTCTACAGGCGGGGAGGCATTCAGCCAAGAGCCTGGCGTGACCACCTTTGAAGGGGCCACGCAACCATGAGTACCCAATACACTTTTCATGTTTGAGAAAGGGCGCTCCACCAAGACGCATCGCCAAAGCCTCCCGGCGGCGTCGCGTTCATTGCGCCTGTACTTGTAGTACCAGTACCGTGCGTCCCCTGTCGAAGCACCCGTCCGACCCGAAACACATAAAGCAAACGCCTTGCAAAATACCGTTGCCAAAGCGGCATGGCTGGGAAACGCCCGCCACCGAGCATGCACCATACAGGTTCTGAGCGCGCGCGTCGCCCCAGGGCAGGGGGCGACGCACACGTAGTGCAAGTCGGTGGCTGGAGGGTGATATCGAAACGAAGCGGAGACCTACCACCAGGAAATGAGTTTCGGTTTAGTGTTCGTTGTTCGTGTCGTGCGTGCGGGCGAGGCGAACTTGCGTGCGCGGGCAAGAAGGGTGAACCCGACGCTACGACAGCGAAACTGGGCCAAATGATGCTGTGCCCTCCCCGCGATTGGCTGGCGGTGGCCCGGGGGTGTCCCGATGGAGTCCCGTTGCTAGTGCCCGGTTGGCCAGCGGTGGCCCGGGAGTGTCCCGATGGTGTCCTGATGGCGTCCTCCCCGATGGTGTCCCAGTGGTGTACTGATGGTTTCCTGATGGTGTCTCGATGTTGTCCCGATGGTGTCCGGACGGTGCCCCGACGGTGTCCCGACGGTGTCCCGATGGCGTCCCGATGGTGCCCAGATGGTGTCCCGATGGTGTCCGATGGTGCCCCCATGGTGACTGGATGGTGTCCCGATGGCTGTCCCGATGGCTGCCTCGTGGGATCGACAGATAGATGGGTAGTGAGATCGATGGATAGTGAGACCAGTCGATCATGAATTCGATCGATTGTGAGACGGATCGCGAGACAGATTGTTGGGAGTCCGCCCCCAGGGGTCCTGGCGAGTCCCAGGGTATGGTCCCACATGTGAATAGGGCGGAGGGCTCCCCCCTGTGGGGGAGGCTGGCCCTGGCCCCGGCCCCGGCCGTGGCGGCGGCCGTGGCCGTGGCCGCGGCCCCAGTGGTTGGTGTTCGAAATCGGCGCCTGCGGCGGGCCATTCCGTGCGCTCGTCACACTCATTTGCACTCAGCTGCCATCACCACCAAATTATGTGTAGCTAGTGTTCGAAATCGGCGTCTGCGGCGGGCCCCTGGTGCGCTCGTCACACTCATTTGCATTCGGGGGCCGTCGCCACCAAAGCACATGTTGTTCGAAATCGGCGCCTGCGGCGGCCTCTGGCCCACTCCTTACAACCAGTTACACTGTGTTACTTCCAAGGACAGCGTCGCGCGCGCGGCGGCCTTCGGCGGTCTTGGGCGGTCTCGGGGGCGTCGTCGGCTGTCGTGGAGCGTCGGAGGTTCGAAAACGCGAGACACCGAAAAACATGTTAAACCGATAGAAATCAAGGATTTGGGCCTCTCAGAGCTCTCTCGGGACGCCTCTCGGAGATCTCTTGATGCCTCTTGGAGGCCTCTTGGGCTGTGTACTTGGGGTCTTGAGCCGATCTTGGGCCACGTTGGGGCTATCTGGCCTGTCTTGGAGGGGCTTGTCGAAGTCCCCAGGGGGGTTCTGGGAGCCTCCTGGAAGTCTCTGGGGCAGTCTGGGGGCTCCACGGCCCCTCCGGGGTGCTCTGGGAGCGGTCTCGGAGGCAAGGGTCCCTCCATGCGCGCGCCAGGTCCCGGCCCCAGGCGCCCGGGCCACTTGCATGCGGCGTGAATCTGAAGCCCACACCGCCACCGTGCCGTGGTTGTGTGTCACAAGCATCTTGGATGTTCGTTGGGATGTCTTCGGATCCGTGTTGGGGGCCTCGCGGAGATAGTGTGGCGGCCTCCTGGCGCTCATCTTGATGCTTTTGCGGGAGTCTTAGGGGGAGTCTTGGGGGACTCTCGGGGGCCGCTTGCGGTCCCTTGAAGCCTCCAGGGGGTCTCCTGAGGTCTTCGGGTGACTTCTTGGAGTCTCTTGGGACTCTCCTCAGGGTGTTTGGGAGCCATCTTGGTCTCTCTTTTTTTGAGACCACTAGAAACATATCAGTCTTCGCTGTTAGGTAAGAAGCATCAAACGAAACTATTACTTCTACTCGCAAGCATGCCGCCTCTCGCAGGCTGTCGCGAGTCGAAACAAAAGGAAAAACGTGAAGCAGGAGAAGGAGGAGAAGTCCACGAGGAGGGGAAAAAAGGGGACGACGATGACAAGGCTGAAATTAGCAACAGTACAAAATGGAGCGAAGCTTGTCGCGACTCGGGCCAAGCGAAGCTTCAAACTCAAAATGATATGGGGGATGCCCCCAAGATCCCGTGGGTACGCAACTTTGATCGCTGAGCTGGTGCAAAGCGATTGCGAATGTCAGGTCCAACTGACCCGCAGGTCAGGTCAGGTCTCTTTTCGCAATATCAGGTCCTACTTCCGCCCGCAGTAAAATGTCAGGCGGAGAGGCCCCTCTGAAAAGCACGCAGGACTCGACGATAGCCCTGAGTCCTCTGGTCGTGAGCTGCTGCCACAGGCGTACTCGTTCATTCGCGCAGCAAGTCTTGCGCGTCCTCCACGCGCACTGGCTGGTTGGATGCGCGGCTGCGGGAGACACCGACGAGCGCACCCAGAGCGACAAGTGCGGACGCCAATCCGAGCGGCACTGACACCGCAACGGATGTCTTGTCGAGCTCCGAGGTCGGCCCCGCCTCCGGAGCGGCGTCGTACAAACGAAGCTTCGTTGGGCAAATGTCCGTGTTGTCGGCGCCAGTGCACTGGGAGCACTCGGAAACGAGCATGTCCTTCGGAGAGTTCGCGGCCGCCACGTTATTATTGTTGGAGCCAAAGTTCTTCTTGCTCTCCTCGCACCAATACCTGAACCTCTCAAGGCAGGTCACGGTCTCGCAAGTGGCCTTCATGCAGACATAATGGTACTCCAAGCTTTCGGTTCCTCCAGGTTGATCAGTTGTCTTGTAGTGGATTCCGGTAGGGTCAGTGTCGGATGTGGAGCACCCGTGCGGGATCTCGGTGCTAGAGCTTTGGCTGTGGTCTGGCCCTTTAAACTCTTGATTCACGAGCGTGGCATATTGCCGACACTCGGCCTCCGTCACATCACGCCACTCGCCGGCTGGAGCCATGTCCTTGCACAAGGGATTTGGCGCTGTGTCTCCTGTCGCATCTGGCGTAGATGGCGCAACCTCTTTGTAGTCCGATAGCTGCTGCGCGAACACTGTAGTCAACATGCCCGCGAGCGAAAACACTCTCGCCATGAAGGCCATGGTTGCGCGAAGGGCAAAGCGCGAGGATGTAAGGAGGGAGGCAGAAAATGAACCCTGCCTCGAGCAAGTCGACTTAAGCCAAAACTTGAGCCACAATGGCTACGGAAGCCATCTTGGTCTCTCTTGGGCGGCTCTGGAAGCGTCTTGGGGCCTTCCTGGGCCGTCTTGGGGCTGTCTTGTGGCTCTCCTGGGCTGTCTTGGGGCAGCTGGGGGAGCCACTTGAGGGGCTTGAACGCAATAAAAAACGAAAAAGCGTAAATACTGAAAATGTACGTGTTGACGATGTTGGCGCCTCGGGGGCTTCCTCGGGCAGGTCCCGGGAGGCCTCGTGAGGATCTCGAACCACTCTTGGACCGTCTTGGAGCGGCACTTTCAGCGATTAGGGGACGCTTTCCCGTCCCGGGGCGCCTTCGGAAGCGATTGAACGGCTCCTGAGGGCGGCTCTTGGAGCCGGGAGCGGGCTTGGAAGCGATCTCGGAGCCCCTGTCCTCCCATGTTTCGCGGAAGTCCCTGGGCCCAGTCAGGGAGCCCCGTCCCCCGGGATACATACACATATATATATAATGCGAGTGTATACAAAAGGACACAGTCTTGCATACAAACAAACAAACAAACAAACACACGAACAAGCAAACCAACCTACATACATACAGACATACATACATGCATGCATGCATACATGCATACATACATACATTGCATATATACATACATACATACATGCGTGCATGTATACATACATACATACATACATACATACATACATACATACATGCATACATACATACATACATACATACATACATACATATATACATGCACACATACACACATGCATACATGCACATATACCTACATACGTACCTACATACATACATACATACATACATACATACATACATACATACATACATACATACACACATAAATACATACATACAGACATACAGACAGACATGCATACATACGTACCTACATACATACAGACAGACATACATACATACATGCATGCATACATACATACATACACACATACATACATACATACATACATACATACATACATACATACATTCATTACACATATACATACATACATACATTACGTATATACATATATACATACATGCGTGCATGTATACATACATGCATACATACATACATATATACATACACACCTACACACATACATACCTACATACATACATACATACATGCATGCATGTATGCATGCATGCATACATACATACATACATAGACATGCATACATACACACACACACATACTTACTTACGTGCATACATACACACATACATACCTACCGACCTACAGACCTACCGACCTACCGACCTGCCTACCTACCTACATACCTACATACAAACATACATGCATACATACACTCATGCGTACAATGCATGAATGTATGCATGCATGCATGCATGCATACATACAGACATGCATACACACATGCATGCATGCATGCATGCATGCATACATACATACATACATACACACATACGTACATACATACATGCATACATACCTACATGCATGCATACAAACATACAGACAGACAGACAGGCAGGCAGACAAACAAACAGACACACAGACATACACCCATAAATACATATGCATCCAACATCCGGCGAGCTGGCGTTGGCAGAGACCCAATGTGTTCCCAAAGACGGCCGCAGATCGCGGACGACGGTCCATGATAACCCCAACATGGCCCAAGCATGCCCCGCGATGCTCCCTGAGACGCCCCAAGAGGGCCCCAAGTCGATTCAGAGAGGCCCTAAAAAACAACTTCCCGCGGCGTCAGACGTGCCAGGAACGCTCTAACACGGCCAAAGAGGCCCCCAAGGCGTCCCCAAAGGCCCCCAGCAGGCCCAAGGAGGCCCCGAAGAGGCCTCCAAGAGGCCCCCAGCACGCTCCCAGCAAGCCCCCAGAGTGCCCCAAGATGCTCCTCCTCCTCCTCCTCCTCCTCCTCCTCCTCCTCCACTCTCCTCCAGTCTCCTCCTCCTCCTCCTCCTCCTCCTCCTCCTCCTCCTCCTCTTCGTATTCATTCTGCCCCCACGTGTTCCCCGAAGGCTTTCCAGCCCGACTCGGGGAACTCGTGCTACTATAGCTTGGCCAAGCTCTAGCCAAACTTTCGGCCACATTGGCGTTTGCAAAAAGGCAGGGGGCGGCGGTGTTTCGCCGTAGGCGTCTTCGATAACAAAGAAAGAGAAGAAGAGCGAGAGTGGAGAATCCGCCGACCCTGTCGGTGTGGACGCTGTTCTGTTTGACCCGACATCGTCGTCGTCGTCATCGTCGTCGTCGTCGCCGTCGTCGTCGTCGTCGTCGTCGTAGTCGTCGTCGTTGTCGTCGTCGACGTGGTCGTCGTCGGCGGCGGCGACGTCGTCGTCGTCGTCGCCGTCGTCGTCGTCGTCGCTGCCGTGCTTGACCCAACTTTCCCTGGGCCCGTCGCCGCTCCCCTCCTTGTCACTGGGCCCTCCTCCTCAAGCGAGCCAGCCAGAGCGAAACCAAAGCGAAATTGAGCAACGTCGTAATTGAGTCGAAAGGAACCCCTTCCCTTTGATCCCTTCCCCCCCAGGGGGAGGAGGCGGTCATGAGGGCGTCCAAGGGGGGCTCCTGGGGGGTCTCGGGTCAGAATACCAGCCTCCCCCCGGGTGTCCTGGGGCGCAAAAGGCCCCGAGACGGCCCAAGAGACCCCCAAGACTGTCCAAGAGGGCTCCGAATCGCAAAACAATCGGTCCAAGACGCCAGAGATAAGACGCTCGAAGAGGCCTCCAAGAGCACACCAAGAGGGCCCCGACAGGCAAAATTCAAATGTTTCGGCTTTTGAAACATTCTGGCGTTCTCGCCTTGCGCCGGCTTCCCGACGTCCCAAGACGGCCGAAGATGCCACCAAGATCGGCACAAGAGGCCCCCAAGAGGTTTTCAAGACGGCCCCAAAACGACCCAAGAGGGCCCCAAAGCAGCCCTAGAGGCCTCCCAGACGACCCCAGAGGCCCCCAAAACAGCTCCAAGAGGGTGCCCACACCGGAGCCCGAGCGAAAATTTCGAGCCCTCGGCTCAAAAAAACTCCCAAGAGGCCCCCAAGAGGCCCCAAACAGGCCCTAAGAATTCCGAAAGGACCCCCAAGAGGCCCGCAAGAGGTCTCCAAGCTGCTCCAAAGAGGCCCCAAAACTGCCCCCCAGAGGCCTACGAGCGCGCTCCGAAAAGGCCCCACGAAGCGTCCCTGAGGACTCTGCCCCACGTCAGCGTCGTCGTCGCCGCCGACGCCGCTGTCGTGGTCGTCCCCGTTCAGGGTCGGCGGAACCAGTCGCAAGGCCTTCCCAGTAGAGAGAGAGAAAGGGAGAGACAGGACAGCAACCAAAAGATGACGGAGGGAGATGGAGGGATGAAGGAGGTATGGAGGAGGGGGGAGGGATGGAAGGAGGAGGGAGGCAGGCAGGCAAGAACGTACAGCCGACACACATCTTGAGAACGCAACGTACCGATGCAAGACCCCCGGGATTCAAAATCTCACCAGCCCTCTAAGCGTAAGTAGGTGGTTTGGGGAGTTCATTCCAACCTCCTTCGTCCCCTCCGGGGAATGGCTGGCCTATCCCCTGGGTCAGGAAACCGTTCCCGCGAGGGTGTGGAGCCAAGATCGGTCCTAAGTGGCCTCCAAGATGGGCCAATCTATCCCATCATGGACAAATATAGTGTCCAACATGCCTCAAAGCCTCAAGAGCGCACCAAGACGGCGTCAAATGTGTTCCGAGCCTCCCAATGACGCCCCCGAGACGCCCAAATCAGTCCAAAACCGAGGGAAAGCAACAACTGCTCGCAATATCGCCATTTCGCTTCCGAGCGACGGGCATGCGAGGCCTCAAAATGGCCTCAATATCGCCCAAGAGAGCCGCATGAGGGGCCCTATACACATCCCCAAGACGGCCCCGAGAGCGCCCAAGGGCGCCCGAAGAGCGCCCCCAGAGGGTCCGAAGAGGCGAATGATTGGCCTCCGACGGGGGGGGGGCGCCGTCCTCCTTTTGTTAGCCAATTACCTTCAAGATGGACGCCGTCAAAGGTCGCAGCAAGCAAACTACGAGCGAATTGCGCACCAGGGGAAGGAGGGAGGCGACGTGAGGACAGCGGGAGGAGGAACTAACAGGAGGCGGGCCTCGTTGCCGCTCAGAGGAGGGCGCCGTCGACTGGGGGGAGCCTCCAAGCGGCTTGCATCGCCAAAATGGCAGGGAATTCTGGTTGAACGACACCGCGAGCACACTGAAGACAGGAACCACCGGCAGATCGCACCACGAGGACCAGGCGTCAGGACCAGCGGTCACTCCGTCGCAAGGTGGCGATCGAGTCACACGCGCCGCCAGGCGTTGACCAACTCGAGTACAGGCGCTCAACAGACCAAGGCTGGTGAGGGTACTTTTTGTTGATCGCGCCCGCGGCGAGGGAAAGGTCAGGCGGCGTCAAGGGCGGTGCAGACTGGCAACGGTCGGAGGAGGAGGAGGAGGAGGAGGAGGAGGAGCAAAGAGGGAGTGGGGTGTGGATGAGAACGGGGAGGAGGACGACGACGAGGAAATTGGAGAGGAGGGATAGAGGGAGAAGGAGGGAGGAGAGGGGAGGCAGGGAGGGAGATGTAGAGAAGGAAGGGGATAACAAGGAAGAGGGAGGAAGGGACGAATGAGCGAGGGAGGGCGAGGAAGACGAAAACAACAACGGCGGTCGCCACCACCTCCCTGCGCCTCAGTGGCCGCGAGCTGCGGTAGTGGGAAACGTTCGCTTTTCCCTTCTGAGGTCTGATGTGTTTGTACGATTTTTCTTGAACCGAAGAAATCGACGACGACAAGAACGAGGAGGAGGAGGACGACGAGGAGGATAGAGGAGTTAGGAGGGAGGAGCGAGGAAGGCAAGAACAAGGGTCCACAACAAACTTAGTTACTAGTTCAAAATCCGTCCTAGGACCCGTCCTCGTCCCAATGTCCATCCTTGCCGATGTTTCGTTACGGATCGATTTCCGCCGGCCCCGAAACGGGCCCCCGAGACCGACACGGAGGACAAACCTCCGACGAGGGAGGGGAGGAGGAAGATAGGACGACGACGACGACGACGACGACGACGACGACGACGACGACGACGACAA